TTTTCACAATAGACATTTATACACCATTGGATAGAGAATTTAAAGGGCTACATTTTGGACTATTTATTTTTTAAAACACTCGAAATCGACTTTTTGGCCTAATGTCCGCTTAGTTGCCCACTGTGTGTTGGAACAACTGAACTCTATACTTTCATCGCCATTTTTCTGCATCATTCTTCACTCTTACACTGAAGATTGGATTATAATTAGATTTGTCACAATCATCTGATCTCTGGAGAGGGGATATACCGTCCACACGCACATCTTTCTCGGTTTCTTGTTTTAAAATAAAGAAGGAGTATCGAATTGTGTAACTTTACTTAGAGCAGAGAGTTTCCAGACATATTTTGCCTGCCTCTCTGACATTTGATGCCGTGATGGATCTTCTTCATTATCCATCGAGGAAAGTGATCCAGTGAAACAGAACACAACATCGGTAGAAAGAATGAAACAAGAAGCAACAGTCGTCGATTTTGAAAACAAATAAATACTCACTCTGTATAAGAGCGAGACATTCAGTGGTGGTCTTCATTGAATTTTCTTATCTGTGTCTTTTGTTTTTGAAATAGTGTAGTCATATTCTTTCTCATTATTTTTGTTGTTTTTAATTATACTACGCCTATTTTGTTGGCTATTCTTATTTTTAGTTGTTTTATTGCTTGGTTATTGAAAATGCAATTACTTTTGCTATGTATGAATCAAAAAATAGAACGTTCATTTGTAAAAGTTTTGATCTACTCATATGTTGTCAGATTGTCCAACATGCTGTGTTTTCTTTTATTAAAGATTTGTATTCAAATATATCTCTATATGTTGATAGTTTTTGTTATTTCTCAGTAAAATTTCGTAGAATTAAAATTCAAGTTCATAAGAAAAGACAACGTCAATAACAACATTTCTACTTTTTAAACCAAAGCCTAATTCTTCTTACAACAAGGTTCAAAGTTCCGATCACGATTTTCTGCAGAGAAGAGAAAAACAGTTAAAAAAGTACAAAATATAAATTAATACTACGCTCGCCCTACAATTCACGCACACTCTCAGAGCGTCACTTCATCACTGCAAGTGACACTTCAGTGATAAGTGCACGCATTTGAAGTGAGATTTTTCCCCCTTCCTGTAAACACCGTTTACAGAGAGTTAGGCATGAGATCGATCACAAGAAAAAATGAAAAGTTTCTCTTAAGTTTCTATTAATGCTGTTGTTTAAATTGTGTCATCATTCGTTTAACAAATTCTTGTTCATTTTCTGTTTGTTGTGACTGTTCCGATGCATAAAAGCTTCCTTCACCAGCATAATTTAGGTAATCTTCTTGATCATTTTCATGTCAACTAATTGCTAATGGATCATTTACACGAATTCGTCCAACACTAAAATAGAGGGAAAAACCATATTCAGTTAGCGCTGAAACGTTTTAGCTTATAAATAGAGGTGAGATTCTAATTTTTAATTTCCTGTCAGACTTTTCAGAAGACAGCCTGAAAATTATTGGAATTTTTCAAAAGAATTTCTGTATGCAAAAAGCTTTTATCACAACGTTTTATTGGTTTTTAAAAAGAAGTATTTATTACTGTAGATTTTTTCTGATTGGTAAGCACCTTCACTGCTTTGATAAGGTAAAATATCAATGAACAGTACGCCAATAAAGAATCGGAGAGAACAGACTGCACGCACATCAGACGGCAAAATTGGCATATCAGAAAAGGCATAGATACGATGACATATTGATCATTTGTGTTGATACATATATTTTTGAATGTTTACGTGAAATCGAAAAGATTTTGGAGCAAAAATCTTACTTCAAGTGTGTGCACTTATGACTGAAGTGATAAGTGCGCACACTTGAAGTGAGATTTTTCCTTGCTGTAAACACTGTTTAGGGCTTTGAAAATTTTCATTTCTTTTGTTAAATATTCGTTGAATATTCTTTTTTGTGACAGATGGTAGTTGAACACGTTTTTGTATGTCGCTGGAATTTGTCTCATTTCATTCAGGAGTGAGTAAATTTTCACCATTAGGAAACCCTTTGTTGGCGAGTAGACGGGTGTATAGTGGAATTGGTGAGATTCCAGCATTCGAAGCATTAAACTATCGTGCACACTACCAATAAAACGTGATTTTAAAAAAGTTATTTTATTGATATGATGATGATAGTGCCAAAACAATGTTGCTTATTCTTACCGCTGTAAAATTGTCTCTGATACCGACCTAGAAATGAGCATGGGAGAGAAATAAGTGATAATCAGCTTTATTTGTCTGTTTGTTTCTAGACTGTTTGATAACTTAGAGATTTTATCTAATCTACACGCTGCTTTCTTTTGCGTTATTAGAAGAATCATAACTCGCCTGGTCTCTGTATTCTGTGCCTCGTTCCATCAGCGCATCCAATATATCGTCCAAGCACTGAGTTCCACACGAATAAAATATTCATTTCATAGTTGTTTGCCATTCTATCATCAATTGAATGGATTTTGAACTAAAATTGGTAAAAAAAATATTCTTAATCTTGATATGTTACTTTTTGATACTTTAAACATTAAACTTTAACAACGAAACGTGAAGTACGTTCTAATCCAAATTAATAACAACAATATAACATTGGCATCCACACTATTTGTATGTCTCCTTCCTTGTAAAACCTCCATTTTTCTGATATTGAAACGAACGAATGTTGGACAAAGGTCTTAAATTGCTTCAACTGGTATCCCCGTTAAATCGCAAAAACGACGAGGTGTTGGACCAAGTTTAGCATATAAATCGACTAATGTTGATCGTTCATAATGATGCATTGGCATCGTAATATGATAAATTGTCTTATAACACCTAGTCTTTGAACAAATAACGGATCCATTTGTCTAAAAGACAATGTATTTATCTAAATTGTCAATATGATATAAAACATGATTTTTTTCTTTTTTAGGTATAAAGACACCTGTTTGAGATGAAACGTCTGTTAATAACATCAAGAAAAGACAAGTATTACGAGTATCGCGGATTGAAATAGAAATTGTTTGTTCAATGTATGATCAAGGCATTATCTCATTCAAACAGATTGTTGAAAATATTAGAACAGGTCAATATGATGAAATAACACAATATTATAAATTATTAATGAATCAAAGTAGTATAAAACGTGTTAATAGAATTTTAACGTCAGTAGCTCGGACCTGAGTATGACTAACAAGGGAACATCCCAAGTGTCTTCGGGAATTTCGACGAAACATATTTTAAGCGGTGAAGTAAACTGTACCTATGAATACAATGTTTTTAGCTCCTGCCATTAGTTGGCTCTTTATGCTTTTATAAACAATTTTATGCTTTTCTTGCCGAAAACTTATCCGTTTTCAATCAATCATACTTTCTTAAAATCCGTCGAAGATATAGTTTTGTAAAGAAATGTTGTTGCTAATCGAGAATTTCCTTCTGCTAGAATTATTTACGCATCAGTTAATTTCGTTCCCAGCACAACTTAATTGGAAGAAAGTTTTATATTTAATGAAAAATCTTTTTGATTTTGTTTCTTCTACCGGTTTGATCTATAATATTTAATAGGATTCTGAAGTTTTCTTGATCATAGAGCAACCATTCTGAAGAACAACGAATATCTCATTTAATATCAAGATCAAAAACCGATACAAAAAGCAAAAGCTAAAAAATTTTCATTAGATGTAAAATATTCAATCAAGTTATGCTCCAAAATCTTTTCCATTCCACATAAACATTCAAAAATATATGTATCAACACAGATGATCAATATGTGATCGTTTCAGCGCTAACTGAATATGGTTTTTCCCTCTATTTTAGTGTTGGACGAATTCGTGTAAATGATCCA